AGGAGGGGGTTGGAACGGTTGCTGCTGGTGGTGCAGGGTTGAATATCAACCCACGCGGTCGTCCCGGACGTGCAACGATGCTAGTTCGGTTTCGCCTGAACCCGCGTAACCACGCGGCCGTCGTCGCGCGCTCGTCGCAAGCGGTGCCCGCGAAAACGAAAAGCGCGGGCGAACGAAGGATTCCCCCGAACTGAACGGAGAACGAAGGGTGATGGAAGACCCGAGCGCACACACAGGCGAGTCGACGACCAGGCGGTGAAGTCGCGTCGAGGACGACAACATCGTCGTCATTGTCGTCAACGTTGATGTCTTACCCGTTGGTAGCACGCGCGCGCGTCGCGTCACCACAGCGTGGAGTTGCCGCGGCGGCTGCATCACCGAGCTGCATCGATTTTTCGATGCGCTCGTAAACGCGACTGATACCAATGACCCTCGACCTACGGTCGGTTTAAAGGTCAGAGACTGCATTGATGACGATACGGAGTGATGTTCGATCTGAGATGAGAATGCTGGAGAAGGGGAAGTAGATCAAACGCAGATCCCCGATCCTCAATGATACAGGATCGGAAGTCCGGATGCAGTATCGCGAAGTCACGCGAACGACACGCGCACCGATTTCCCGAGGAGAACGTACGCTCCGGCGGCTGATGCCGTGACCCGCGGTGTCTCGCGGAATCATTGATCTTCCTCTCGACCGCCACCGCCGCCGCACGTGAGCGTCACACAGTTCAACGAGTATACGACGCAATTACTCGGCGATACCGCCGCGAATGGCACTTGCGGATGTCACGAAATGATCGTTCTAACGAGAATATCTGTGAAAAGATATTTATCGATTTGTAGAAAGACATTCGCATATACTAGACTAAGAAAATTGAGAATTTAGAAAAATATGGCTGATCAATGCAACGTCGTACTACTTGATCGGCATGGTTCCGTGCGATTTTTGTCTACCACGAACGAGAAGTAGTGACGTTGTTGCTTTAGTCGGACGGCTTATCTCGCGCTTCGCGGAAATAACGAACCCATATATTTTACGCAAAATGATGTTACTAAAATCATAAAAAAGTGTGAAAAGAAGAAAATGAGTCGTAATAATTATGCAATTATAGTCTAATTTT